GGGTATCAGAGTTTGTAACCATATTATTCCTAACACCATATTAAACCCAACCAAAGGAATAACAAAAAAATCAGCATTAAGTTCATGATTATCAATTGAAAAGGTTACTGCATTGCAAATTCTTGTGTTGTGGGCAGTTTCCCCATTAGCCACTGAGATGCTGGTTTCTGTGTTGGGTTGAACTTTGATTTCGAGACTTCTTGTAGCTGCTAAATTGATAAAATTGTGTGTACTCCTTGAATCTGCCAGATCCCGTAAATGATAATTGTGCAAGACAACCCTCACACAATGGTGCGTGCCCCTTTTTGACTCGTGACTGTGTGTAGAGAGATTTTCGGTTCTCCTTCGACACTGGCTGCCGGCTCTACTTCATTTGAGTCTGCCAACTCAAGCTAGAAAAACTTCTTACATTGGTGACCTGCGATGTATGTTTCATCGCAGTTGTAGCACATGTCTTTTGTTGTTCATTTTGTGATCTCTGCTCTTAATAATTTTTTAATAAATGGAGTGTTCCGATACTTGACTTTTGTTGCTCATCCACTAACTGTAGTGGTTTTTCCTTTAGGTGATGAGATTACTGAGGAAAGCGTCTTAGAGAGGGTGTTAGGCCTATTGGTTGACCATGATTCCTTCTTCGGCGCTGCTTGGATTCAAAAGCTCTTGCTAAATTCATGGTATGAGCTAAATCAGAAAGAGTGTGGAGCTCTACATCTAACCGAATAGAATCTGCTTGTCCTGCAATGAACAAACTTACATGCTGATCAACCCGTACGAATCTATTTGCTCTTGCCAGTTTTTCTTGAAATTGTTTCTAATAATTCTCTATCGACTCCGTCTGTTTCAAGTTTATCAATTCTCCCAACGAGTTATTACCTACTGGCAGACAGAACCTCAGAGAACAATAATCTTTTAATTCAGTCTAGTTGATCGTAGGTTGTTCAGATTCTAATTGGTGATATCATAGTTGTGCCTCTCCAAGCATATGGAAGGGGGCCAATCCCACCTTATCCCATTCCGGCATGTGTTGATTGGTAAAAAAATTCTCACACTGATGTAATCAGATTAGGGGATTTTCAAAGCTGTAAAACGTTGGAAAATCTAACTTAGTGTTGCGTGGAAAGACCCAGTTACCTGTTAGATTATTTGCATTATGTGTCTGGCTACTGGCTTGAAGTGCTTGAGTTGGCTGTTCCCGTATGTGGTTGCTGCTTGCAGTGCCTTCTGCCTCTATTCGTTTGCCACGATTTAAGTTGACCAATATTTCTTTGAATTGCGAGGATAATTCTTGCAATTGACTGCCCAATTGCCTTTCAATCTTTGCGCTCCGTGGTTCGTTTACGGCCAAGGCTTTTTGGAGCATCAATCGTGGATCTTCTTTTGTCGCAAAGTCGCCCATAATATTAGCCTCTGATACCTGTTACCGGTCAGTTCACCGGATAATCTAATTTTGGATTTTGCTTCTTTCCCTTGTTATGACTCATAGAGCGACCTATTGTAAATTATTTCCAAACTCGTCAAAAAGAATTGGCACATTGGATCTTATTAGAGAGAACTCCGATCTCTATATTGTAATTATAACTTTGCTTACCTCTTTATTAATTCTAGAACCTTTTAAATAGGATTAGATGCATTACATTATAGGAAACCTTTATTATTTAGGTTTCTCATAGTAAAAATAAAGAAGATTCCTAATTAGGAGATAAGTCTCCAAATAAAAATTAAATTCCTAAATAAGAGATAAATTTTCCTAAATAAGATATATGTTTCTAGAATATGATAAGTCTTAACCATATAATAAAAATTAATTCGTAAATAAGAGATAAGCTTTTCTAACTAACAGATAGGTTTCCAAAATAGGACAAATCTAAACTATATCAGCTCTTTATTTGTCTTTTCTGCGATAAGAACGGCCCACAAAATAGTTTATGACATGCAATTTGGGTTTCTAGTTTCCTCTTCTTATAAATTAACTCACTACTCCAACATGTGTATTTTTATCATCAGTTCTTGCTTCCTTAGGAGTTCTGATGGTGAATTAGAGAGTATATTTTTTGCATTGGCTTCTTCCCCTAAGTACTTGATTTAACTTTTGATTTATACCTCTTGTTTCTACAGCTTTCCAACAGGCCTTGCACTAATTTTATGGAAACAATACAGCGGGATATTACTCAAAGCATGAGAGGGATTTTGGTTGATTGGCTTGTGGAGGTTAATTTAGCTTTATTATCCTTAAGTTCTTTAATTTATAAACATGGACTTGGTTATGGATTTTAAAGTTATTGATAATTGCTCAGGTTTCTCAAGCTTGATCACTACAGTATTTTTGAGAAATCATTTATTATTTAAATTTTTAGTGGAGAAATTATTTTATTATCTGAATTTTATATCACCCAATGTTTTGCCATGATGATGCAACTATTTTATTCCATAATCATTTGCTTTACATGTTTTCTTTAAATAATAAATGTTGACACTTTCTTCATGAGAATGCACAATGCTTTGTCCTTGCCTTAGAACTGTCATTTAGACATGCAGTTTTGACTTTTTACTAACTGTTGCTTCTGTTGTTGTATTTTGAAATTATTAGGATTTATGTTTATATTAAGTAAATGGTGTTGGATAAAAGATTGTTAATAGTTTGGACCTGTTTCTCTATTATTTTAAAGATTATTTTTTGGCTATGTTACATTGTTTATGTTGTGAAACTTTTTATTTATCTGAATTGTAATTGTTTTTAGCGTTGAATCATCTGAAGAGAGATGCACTTGGTAGTACAAAATAATTTATGGTTATAATTATTTTATGTGAAGACCAGTACAAATTATCATCATATTTCAATCTTGATTTAGGTATCAGAGGAGTATCAGTTGGTGGTAGATACTCTCTATCTCACAGTGCATCTAGTTGACTGCTTTCTCTCACAAAATTATATTGAAAGGAGAAGACTCCAACTGCTTGGCATTACGTGCATGCTGATTGCCTCGTAAGCTCCTAGCACAGCTGACTTCACTGCATGGTTCCTTTTTATTTATAGTCCATTTTGTTCAATTCATTCTATTCCTGCTCTTTCTAGATCATAATTACTTGATAAATAAAATGGAACTATAATTTTCATATTTGATTCACAATTGAATAAATTTTCACTCTAGAATGATGAATTTCTATTTCGAGTTATGGGGCTAAGGATTGTAAAAAACTCTAGCTTAAAATGAACAAGAGAAATACCAAGTGGTTATGGATCCAGGTCTAGTATATGGCTATGGGCCGTCAAGAATGAACTACTGGATGAAGGAGCTACTTCCCAAATTTCCTGCCCTTATGGGCTTACATTTGTGGCAGTTTAGTGCATATTCAAGAGAACCCTTTGATATCTTACAATTAGTTACTCAAAACTATGAGAGAAATTGTTTGGATAATTTCATTGCTTTCACAAAATGCATTTAGAGGAAAGGGCCAGTCACCACACACGCACTGACATACACATGCATATATTCTGGGAAGAGCCAGTTACCAATTCCTAGAATCTAGGATCTGATTTCCATGATTTAATTCATGGATTTGGTTTCTCCAAAAAAAAAAAAAAGGAATTGTCAGCAACTTTGTTTAGATCAACTAGAATTTTACGACATCTATTTTGATATCTGGTATAGATAACTAAAGATTAAAAGATCTTTGAACATAGTAGGAAAGCTGAAAGGAGGATTAAGTCAGACACTTTGTTCTGAACCAATTGGTCCTTCATTGGTACACTGGGTCAATGAGTCAATTTTTGTTCTTGTTAGCAGATAATCAGTGGTCTCATGTTTTATGCTGAAAAAGCTATCTGTAAGAAATGTTTCAAGAATTTATAATCTTCTCCTTTGAATGTGCTATGTATAGTTAAACTGTGACAAAATCTCCAATTTTGTTCTCCAGTGCCCCCATCCAAGTGAATGAAAAATTTGTTCCGGAAGGTTACCTTCTTTTGTTCACCAATTTGGGATAGTTAAGCTTATCAAAAATGTGTTTGTTTATGACATAATAACCCTTGGGTCTGCTTGGTTTGATATAATGGTTGTGTTTTCGTCTAACTTGAAGGAAGTATGAAGAAATTTGTGCACCTCGTGTTGAAGAATTTTGTTTCATCACAGACAACACTTACACGAGAGAGGAGGTATGCAATTGATGTTCCTATTATTATTTAAATGCTCCTGGAAATAAATGATTAAGACATATATGCATTTCGTAGTAAACTGAACTGTAGGTTCTCTATGTTCTGTTTCTATTTCCTCACTATATTTCTTCATATTTGGTCAATGAGAAAGTATCAGAAGACATTTCATGAACTCAGCAAAACATTCATAAATTACTTGGCAATGGTGGGGCTTGTCTGGCTGAACTATATGTCATGTGTGCCCTCAGAGCACACAAGAATATGAGCCTTCAAAATCATGTGATGTTTTTCTAGATTCTTTCTCCTCTCTGCTACAGCTCCTATAACGATATTGATTAAATTAAGTGGGGCAGGTTTCAAAGATGGAGACTGAAGTACTGAGATATTTTGGCTTTCAAGTATGTGCCCCCACCCCAAAAAAATTTCTCAGGTATTTTAATACTCTCATCATATGTATTGATATGCAATATAGGGAGCTCCTTTTGTTCGATATTTCTAAATCTTATTCTTTTACATGAATTTTTGGGTTTCAGGAGATTTCTACGAGCCGCACAGGCCTCTTATAAGGTAATTTAGTTTTAGTCTTTCAGCCTTAATTTACATGGTACTGCACTCATGCTTTTTTTTATCACTAAATGATTAAAATTTAACATTTAACTGCAATCTGCAGATCCCTAGTCTTGAGCTGGAATACTTGGCAAATTATCTAGCAGAACTGGCACTAATTGACTATCAATTCTTGAAATTCCTTCCTTCTATTATTGCTGCATCAGCTGTATTTGTAGCCAGATGGACATTGGACCAATCAAGCCATCCTTGGGTTTGTGTGCCCTTCCATTCAGATCATGTGATTTAATGCAAACTTATAGTTGTCAATGCTGAAGTGATTTAATTTGTTTCCTATCTCCTCCTGCAGAATCCTACTCTTGAACATTACACAACCTATAAGGCATCCGAACTGAAAACCTCAGTTCTGGCCTTACAGGATTTACAATTGAACGTCAATGGCTGTCCTCTTAATGCTGTACGCATGAAATATAGGCAATTGAAGGTAATGATTAGTGTCATAAAGGTGCAATAAAATGTCATCTTTTCACTCATCTATAGTTTCTCTTCAATCTTTTGCTTGAATACAAAAAAACTTTTTGATCCCCTAAGTTCTTGATATCAAACCTTTTGAAAAAATTCACAAGAGATATGCATAAAAATGAAATTAGGGTTTTTCTACAGGCTTTCTGATGATTTTGCTTTATAACAGTTTAAATCTGTGGCGACACTTTCTTCCCAGAAACTGCTTGATACACTGTTCTAACACTAAATGGTCGATCATCTTCAATACAAGGAGCTGCTAACAGAGATAACTCAACATTTTCATATGGAGTCTTACCAGATTTGATTAAGTTTCTTCATGATGTTGCTTCCAACTTATAATCCTCAATTATCTTCTCTTTGCATATTTACACCATTTAAATATCACGTCATTCTTGTCGACTAGGTTTCCACATTGCTGGTTTTTGGTTCTCCCTAAAATAACATTTTCATTTCAATAGTTCATCAGATCATTATTTGTTAGTTTAATTTCCGGCCCTCAGGAAAACTTACCACATTATTTTGTTGAGTTGTAAAATTTTCTGTTAGGAGAAATGTAAGTTTAACTGCTGAATGTAAGGTCAGTTCAAGTGACCCCTTTTTCGTAGTTACTGTCTTGGAACTTTTGGTCTAATATGCTTTCTTTAAAAGATCTTTACTGTTTCGGTTTTACTCTTTTTTTTCTTTTGCTCTTAAGAATCATTTAATCATATAAAAAGTAATTCGGATGTGTTATGTAAATTCTTTAAAATGCATCAAAAGTTTCTATTAGAAACTGTTTGATTTTTGTCAGATCAATAACAGAGAACTGGAAAGAGGTCAATTAAGCATAGTTAGTCCAGGATCATGTAACAATTTTGTTTGTATAGCATCAAATTATAATGTCAGTGAAGTGCATTTAAAGTGAAATCAATCTGATATTGTATTGTAAATTTTTTATTTTCATTGCATAAGGAGCTTGATTAGTAAATTAAGAGAAGAAGCTAAACATTGTAGGAGGATTAATACGAGGAATTTGAGAATTTTGTGAAGAATACAATAAATTAGAATAGATAAAATAATATCGGGATGAAATTGTGATTACATTATAATATGTGGTTTACAATAAGTAATAACTTATATAATTTTGTTCAATAATGTTAAAAATTTGATTGAAAATATAATAATATAATAATAAAATTGTACTAAAGAAAATTGAAATCATAATATCTTTAAATGATTATAATACCATTTTTGTTATTATATTTGTTTAAAAATATATGAATAATATCTATATGGACATAATAAATTAGCAAAAGACATGAGACCATTTGAAAAAAAAAAATAATAATAAAATTGAATTAGTTATTTAAATAATCAAAATTAAACATATTATATTTTGTTATATCATTTTAATGTTGTTAAATTTCTTATAAATTACTCGGAAAGTTCTTTTAGAATTTTTATTTAATTTTAAAAAATAAAAATGCAACTAATTAATTTTTTCTAACCAAATTATATTATGACTATAAATTAAATTTACCCTCCAAATTAAATAATAAAAAAATAATCTATTATTTATAAAAAACATATAAATATTCTTTTGTTTTCTTCGGTATTTTGTGGCGCAGAACCAATTAAATTTCAAAAAATTCATTTTAAAAAAATTCGAACAAATTTATTCTTTGACCTTTTACTTCAAAACTAAACTTCATCTCCCAATCCCAACTCTTCCTCTCGTTCTCAGTTCGGATGCACCTCTCACTCTCGGTTCTTCTTCTTCAAATCTGAAACTCGAAGCAGCAAGCATCGCTTCACTGCTCTTGTTCTGTAAACCAAAGTCGCAGAACAGTAAACACCCACACCGTCTCGCTCCTCTTGTTTTTCCTACTAAACCCATCGCCAGATCTGCCACTGCCTAACGTGAATGTCCCAGCGGTGATGCATCAAAGTCTGAATACTCAGTGGGGAATCGCATCCAGTCTCCACTTGTTCCTATTGAACTCGCAAATGGTCTTCCTGGCAGAATCTCAGTGACGGGCCACCACAATGTTACTGTTCATCATCGCTTTCTTGGTTCTTCAACGACGATTCAATTTTTGTTGATTTTTAAGGGGTCAGTCTCCCTTTTGCAGGTACTCTTTGCTAAAGTGTTCCTCATTGTTTGCTTAATTTTGGTTTAATATGTTTCAGATGGTGTTTGGGTCGGCGTTCTGTAAATAACAGAGCTTGTAATTTACATTTTTTTTTAAGTTCTTGGAATAGCCATAGTGTTCTATAAGCTATCAAAAAATTGCTATTGTTGACCCCTTAGAAATTCTATTCCTGCATAATCTGTTCTGGTAGTCTTCCAAGAGTTCTCCTTTTCTCATTTGGGTTAACTGACTGCTTATAAGTATGTATGTTTTAATATGCAAATAAATTAAAATAAATATTGATAAGCAGACATTTCGATAGCTCATACAAGATATTTATTTTAGGACCAGGTAAACGTACTCGTATGCTTATACTGTTGAATCTATTGGCTCTCGAGCAAATGAGAGTTAGATACGCCCGTCTATGCAATTTGTGTGATTTTAGTGCAGATGAACCTTATCAGAAGCCTCTTTGATAAGGTGGGTAAAGTAGCTTTTTTGAATTAGCTCATGGGGAATTGGATGGTTATACACGCCTCTTTATTTCCTTATATTTGGAGCTTGAAATGGTAGGTCTATGATCGGACTGTCCGATTGGATTGTTGCACACTTTTGGTATGTTGTATTATGAAAGTAGTTCATTTGAAGGATTGTGTGTTTATTCTATGTGTTTGAGAGCTTTAATTTGAGAGTTAATGAGAACAAAATTAGGTACAGAATTTATAAAATCCTCTTTGGGAGTTTTTTAAGACAGTATTGGAGGTTCAGAGAATCTTTTCCAATATCTCTAACTCTTATTTATTTTAATGGTCTAATTTGGGGGTTGAGAGGGTTTCTTTAATATTTTATGAATGAAATTTCGTAAATATTGCCCACTATATGCAACATAACAACTATGGTATTAATAATTAAGGTTATTTTTTTCTCGTATTAATAATATTATAACTTTACTCTTTATCTCAAAAAAAATATTTCTTTACTCTTTTTAACCAAACGAGTGTATACA